TAAAAAAGAGGTTAAGCGATTCTTGGGCATAGCTTCGTGGTATCGGAAGTTTGTCCCTAGCTTTAGTTCAATTGCTGGTCCGTTAAATAAATTAACTTCTACTAATAAAAAAACGAATCCCTTTACTTGGACTACCCAAGCCGAAGAATCCTTTAATAAATTGAGAGAGTTACTAGTTTCTGCCCCTATTTTATCTTGCCCTAATTTTAACCTTCCCTTTCAAGTGCATACGGATGCTAGTGACTATGGAGTTGGAGGTATGCTAACCCAAACCATAGAAGGAGTGGAACATCCCATTGCATACTATAGTAGAACTTTGACTGGACCTGAAAGGAACTATAGCACTACGGAGCGTGAAGCTTTGGCTGTTTTAGTGGCTTTGGAACACTGGAGATGCTATCTTGATAATGGGATAAAGTTTGTCGTCTACACTGATCACTCTGCTCTCAAGTGGTTTCTTGTCTAAACAACCCAACTGGGCGGTTGGCTCGCTGGGGTGTCCGCCTATCAGCTTTTAATTTTGAAATAAAACACAGGCGTGGCGTTGATAATGTTATCCCTGATGCATTGTCACGTTCATGTAAAGTTTCGGCAATAGATTCTAATAATCTACCTAGGACCAATGATCAATGGTACTTAAATATATTTCAAGGTTGTCAAAGCTCTCCTACGTCATTCCCTAATTACCAAATAAAAAACAATCGATTGTTCCGTTATTCAAAAACTAATAACCCCTTCCATAAGGAGTTCGAGTGGAAAGAAGTAATTCCTGCTGAGTCGAGACAAGCTATTGTGCTCGAAAACCACTCGGACCCAACAGCTGGTCATTTCGGGATTTTTAAAACATTTAAACGTGTGGGTCTAAGTTATTTCTGGCCTGGTATGCATGCAGACGTTGTGAAAACTGTCACTTCTTGCGATACTTGCATCGCGCACAAGCACCAAAATCACGCGATTCTAGGTGAAATGGGTAGACCTAAACATTGCACTAGACCTTTCCAGGTTATTAGCGTGGATCTAGTAGGACCCCTACCTCCTACTAGGAAACTAAACAGCTTTATTCTGGTTGTCACTTGTTGTTTTAGTAAGTATTGCTTACTATTTCCAATCAAGCGCGCTACCGCTGAAATTGTTACTAAAATACTGGAGGACCATGTATTCTTAATACACGGCATTCCTTCCACGGTGATTTTGGATAATGGTAAACAATTTGTAAGTGCCACGCTAAGACAAATGTTAGATAAATATAAAATCCCTAAGCTGCATTTTACGCCTAAATACTCACCACATGTAAACACAGTGGAACGTTATAATAAGACGATAATGACTGCCATTTCCACGTTCATCTCTAACGATCAACGTATTTGGGATCTACTAGTACCTAAAATACAATTCGCTGTGAATTGTTCCGTAAATGAAGTCACGGGCTACACCCCTTCATTTCTGGTATACGGACGTGAATTAATAGCTTGCGGTACGCACTATATCGATACGGATACTGATGAGGATTTAATTTTTCAACCTCGCGATTCCTACGCGGAGAACATAGGTGTCCTATCTTCTATCTTTAATAAAGTTCAGTCACTGCTTCTACAAGCTCACAGTCGTAATTGTAAACATTATAATTTACGCCGGAAACCGGCTGAATTTGATATTGGTGATGTGTATGGAGAAAGACCTTTTACCTTAGTGACAAGGACAAATATTTTAATAAAAAATTAGCACCAAAATTTTTAAAATGTAAAGTAATCGGTAAAAAGTCGCCTCTTGTCTACGAGTTGTGATATGTCCGGAAAACCACTAGGTTCCTGGCATATCAAAGATATTAAAATCACAAATTATAAAACATAACAATTATTATAAGCAAAGTAAATCTACGTACACACACTGGACCCGGGTATGTCCTAAAACTACGTACACACACTGGACCCGGGTATGTCCTAAAACTACGTACACACACTGGACCCGGGTATGTCCTAAAACTACGTACACACACTGGATCCGGCCACGTCCTTAAATTATACTTAAATAATTTTTGAACAAAATTTTAATCGAATTAAAACTAATATCTGAACACTAAATTCTATAACTACCTACAGTACCTACTACTACTACCACTACTACTACTACTACACAAAGCTATTCCTTTTCTATTTTATACGTATTGGTCTACCCCAATAGTGTATAATTATGATGATGGTCTAACCCACACAATGTATTACTATCATATTAAATATACTATGACTATCGGCCCTACACCGATGTCCATAAATGAAACTAGATCATGGTTCTACCCCATAGATTCCTTCAGTTATGTACGCTAAAGGCCCTACACCTTTGGTATTCTACGGAGCGGTGCAACTCCTTAAATAAGCCTTTGCAAGAGCGGTTGATTACTCTATAAATAAGCCTCAATCACAAACATAACTTATTATCTATTCTTCCTAAGTCTATTATTCTATCAATTAGTAGTTATGTGGAGATAGTAATCGCTCCAAGTCAGCTTAATTTTTTTCCACCCATAATTGAGCTGGGGGAGTGTTCTGTGCACTGGTAGCAGAATACTCAGATCGAAAGGATGCTGACGCACAGATGTCTATTGTGACGTCGGCTAGTTAATGTAAGGAATAATGAAAAGTGAGGGATGATTAAATGATGAATGATGATGAATGAAAGGGTAACTCGGTTCAGTTATCAGCAAGAGCGAAAGCAGCGGATTTTTCCTAGGAAAAATCCTACGCTAATGAGGGGGGTACTGTAACGTTGTACCTTGTTGCCCTAAAAATAGCTTCGAAACCATATAAATTATAAATAATTACAATAGATTATTCTAAAACTATTATTAAAATACACTAAATAAACAAATAGAAACACATCTTACTACTTACTAATTTAAAACGCATCAAAATAATTAATTTTATATAAAAACATTACGGAACCCAATATTAATTGTTTACGCAAAGGTCCTCGCTTCTATTGCGCCTACGCATCTCTAAACGAGTTAATAACTAGTCGTGTCGGCTCGTCTCGGGCGCATTCGTAAAATCCAACGAACAGTCAACTTAAAGGCATCAGAGGTGACGGCTGTGTCACTCGATCGCGGACGACCTACGTTGCAAGATCGTACTTACCTACCTAATTAAATCTACCTTAAATCAATTATATAAATTGTAATCGGAATCCCGCTGGGGTAAGTTTCCATGTATTGCTTAAGTGTTGCTATTGTAAGGTGTTTCTTCTTCTTAATTTCTCGCTAGCAGCGGCTATTCCTTTTTTTCTTTGTCTGCTGGGACACTGTGACCTTTGGACCCGGCTACGTGGTCCGAGCTCTGCTAACGCTTGCCTTGTATCTGCGCTTCCAGGATTCATGTTCTACGATTAACCTCGCATCGCAGCCATCTACCTGGCGGATTTATATTCTACTATTAACCTCGCATCGCAGCCATCTACCTGGCGGCGAGTGGAAGACCAGACCTCCTTCTACCTGGGAACTACCTAGGCCCTGCTGAAGACCTGGAAGGCATTTGGAACGAGACCGGACCGCCTGCAGAGCTACTCCACGGTTCAGGCCAGTGTTCTCAGCGTACCTATTACCCCGAACCTGGACGTGATTGGGGCAACAGATATTTGGCAATAATAGAGTGAACTACTTCTAAAAAAAAAAAGTGTACTTTATTTGGACCCCTACCTACCTACCTGCCGGCCACCTGACTCCTACAGGAGCTAAGTTGCCGCAAGCTATTTTTGTAAACTACCGATCTTATTACAATTAATTTTAGTTTTTCATTTTATAAAGATGAACCAGTGCTGCTACTACTTCATATGAGTAAACCGGTTGGCAATTATAAATTTAATAATGTTGCAAAGAGTATGTATGCCCATCTATCCCTACAAGTCTTACCCTAAAGACGTCGATAGCAATACGTATCATGGTCCATCTTCCACCCCATACATAATCGCCAAATACCCCAAACACCCAATCCTCAATGATCGCCAACGCACTTCTAACTCCCCTGGTTTTGCGATGCGCCCGTGTCGATGGACGCAGCCAATTGCTTACCATTAGGTTATCTATGTGCTTTTTGTCACATTACTGTAATAAAATACGAAGTGGTAATAAATGTGAAACGTAATAATTCTGTTCTGCAAAAGCATTTTATTATCGTTTATTAAGTAATATTTTTTTCTAGAATTTTAAACCATATAATACATACACATACATGATATTAAGAGCTCAGTAAAACCATTTACGATATCGATTAAAATTAAAGTTAATTAAGTTAGGTTAGAATGAAGCTGCCTCGTTGGCCGAGTGGACGCAAGTGCGACTGCCGGGCAAGGGGTCTCGGGTGCGATTCCCGGGTCGGGCAAAGTATTACTGGGATTTTAAAAAAAAATCTCAGTTGTACCACGAAGTCTGGAATTGTGCCCGGTATATGGCAATAGGCCCACCCTCTGTTACATGGGACTCACAACGTAAATAGTGAAAAGTGGGTGTTACACTGTACAGTGGCATAATGTGCAGAGGTGCACCTCTGCCTACCCCTTTGGGGATAAAAGGCGTGATGTTATGTATGTATGTAAGAATGAAGCATTGAAGCAATTTTGCGCTAAAACCAATGTGTTTACAGAGTCTTAAGTGAATTATGGCCCTTAACTTCAGGTTCAATTAATTAAGCTTGCTATTATATTTACATTTACTATAGACGATACTACCAGTGTGTTGGCTAGATTTCAAATGTAATTATTAAACCTTTGAATATTAAATTTACCTTTGTTATATGACTAATTGTTACTTGTGTCAAATTAAAAATATAATTCTTAGGTATGTAGAATATTTTGTTGTTCCAATTATGCAAGGAATCATGTTCTACTCACACCTTTTGAATTCACGTTGATTTTCCATAATGAAGTAATAATACATTCTGTCTCAAGGTCAACACATTTTACCAAAAAATTGCATTATTATATAGCAAACTGGTTCAGCCAGTCCCTTTAACATGTTCCATTGCTCATATAAAAAGAAAAAATATGCACTGAGAAATTATCAGTTACAGCTTAGTACTGCGAAAGTAAACATACAAACCTGCAAAATGTACAAGGTACGGTTTTTAATAGAAAAAATTAAATCTTTTAATTTCTTCGAAAGTTTCACCGATATCAAACTGGATATTCATATAAAATCATATAGAATAAGGTGTAACAACAGGGCTCAAATAAAAAAAAAATGTTGATGGAAATATTCACTGTATATTTTTGCAGATCTTCCTCATCGCCGCTGTAGTTGCGATGGTCACCGCGCGGCCACAAGACGGTCATGGTCACGATCAACACCACGGTCACGGCCACGCCATCTCCTCGCAGAGCATCGTACTGCACCACTCTCAAGAGATCAAGCACCCCGTACACCACAAAGAGCACCATGGAGAACAACACCACCATGAGGGTCACCACCAAGAAGAAGAACAACAACAAGATAACCACCACCACCACGAGGAACAAAATCATGACGAACACCATTATGATGGACATCATCATGAGCAGTACCACCATGACGACCACCACTACGAGCAGTACCACCATGATAATCGTCATCACGAACAGTCCCGCCATGAGGAACAGCATCATGAGGAACAACATCACGGAGAGCACCATCACGAAGAACACCATGGACACGCCTCCTCCTCACAGAGCATCAAGCAGTACCATGGAAAGGCCACTGAGAAACACGTCGAGTACTATGTAGGAATATTTTATTGAAGCCACTAAAATTGTAATCTATTATTGTCTAACTGAAATCTGTAACGACATTTTTAATTTGTTATAGGCTCATCCCAAATACGAGTTCGCATACAAGGTCGTGGACCCTCACACCGGTGACAAGAAGTCCCAGCATGAGGCTCGTGATGGTGATGTAGTGAAGGGCGTGTACAGTCTGCATCAGCCTGATGGCTCTGTCAGGATCGTAAAGTACCACTCTGACAAGAAGGCTGGGTAAATTTCAAAGTTTCTAAAAAGTAATTTAACATCGTTTTCGATTTTTTCAATTTATTATTATTTCCATTTCTTTACAGATTCAATGCCAACGTGCATTACGAAGGTCACGCCATTCATATCGTTCCTGAGCACCACCACCACCACTGATCCCATAAATCTGAGAAAACCGTTAAATTGTTATTTTAATACTTATTTCAAGATTGTTATTTATTGAACAAAACATTGTGTTCATATTGTAAATAATTTATTTAAATACAGAGTAGTAATTTCTACATTATTTATTTTATTTTTAAACATATTACGTTTTGACTTTACTACTAGATTGGCATAATCGGGGTATAAAGTAATTCAATATTATTATAATAAAGGTTTTTTTAAATTCGATAATAGACCTAAGAACAGTCCTAGGGAATTGTCGAGCCCATTTGTAACGAAACATAGCTCTCCCACACTTTAATAACAGACTGTGTAACAGGTTATTAAGATTGCATAATTTAATTTTCAAAACATTCCTTCCAGTTCACCTTAAATTAGTAAACTGTTCACTATATGCTTATTCAGGAACAATAAAAGTAAGTTGGGTATAATCGTATTTATTGTAATTATTATTTTAAAAGTTATACAACTTATCTTTAAACAATCCCTAAGTATAAAGTATAATAGCAAACACACAGTAAACAGTCGCAGCCATCAGGAATGATGTGGATTACCACTGTCATATAATTATCATATTAGTTCTGTATCTGCAAATAAAATAAAATTGTAATTAGACCAGTTGCTTGGTATTTTTTATGATCATACGAATTAATAAATTCAGTACCAATCTTGGAAAGATTTGAAATATACAACCGCTCTTTTTATCAGTATAGTATTCTGTGATCTTGACAGAATCATCAGGATGATCCAGACTGTAAACGCCCTTTGCAACGGCCCTAGGCTCTTGTTGAGATTTCTTTTCAACGATGTAAGGGTCTCCTAACTCATAGTCAGACTCGGGTTGTATCTGCAATTGAACAAATGGATATTGAGTATTTTTTTGTATCGTATCTATATTTTTCTTTTAATTATAGTATATGGGTCTTACAAACATCTTTTTTGAAAAACTATTTACGAATGAAAATGTTTCAATTTTTTAAACTACGTGTACGTAAAACTATGTGTGGATTAAATAAAATCCAAATTGCACGCATATAAAATCGCAGGCAAATAGAAGATTTACAAGTAAAACAATCCAAATTAAAGGTTATAAAGAAATGAACTTAACTATTATTATTGTAGTTCTAGTGGGTGTATGAGTGTCTTGTTCAAGAGAAGTGGAATGATCCTGTGACAGAATTTACAATAGTTAGGTTTCTATTTAGAGATAAAAAGTACATATTCAATTGAATTGTAACATACATAATTCTTGTTGTGTTTCCCGGGTTCTTTTTCGTTGGGCAGCTTGATGCTCTCTGATGATGAGTTTGGATTGAGGTGTTCTTCAAAATGTTCCATATGAGGTCCAGGATAGTGGTGTTCACCGTGGAAAAAGTCTTCTCGGTGGTTATCCCCGTGCCTTTCGAGGTGTGCGCTATTGAGATTGACGTCGTGACTTCGGTGCAGTAAATTTTTTTGTGGTAAGAAAATGTGACCGTGGTTGCGTTTTTGCTGATGACCGTGTTGAGGTCGTGCAGCGACCGTCACTACTACAGCAACGAGAAAAAGGATCTGTGGGATAGAGAAATTAATTCTTAAATTTTCAATAAGTTCCACTGACCTTCAGTAACTTTTCTAGTTACCTTGTATCAAAGCTGAAATATAACTACTTAAAACTAAAACTCAAAACCAATATCTACCATCAATAGGATTAGTCTTGATCATGGAAATAAACTCAATAATATAATATAATATTATATTCAATAATATTATTTATTCTATATTTATAAATATAAAATCTTATATTTTGTAAATTCAGAAGAAACTGTCATGTTTAATTTGTCAATCACGTCACCAGAAATGATACCAGACGAAAAAGTAACGAGTTCTTTATCAGATCAATGTGCAAGGAGATTCAATCAAACATCTATGTAGGTATATCTAAATTCCTAAATTTAATCTAGACTTGATTATTTAAACCAATAAAATAACATAATAAGTAAACAACGGTTTATTCGGTACTTTAAGAAATTTTATTTTAATAACTTATTTACATTATAACAACTTTTTTGAGGCTCAAGAATCAACAATCTTATAATTAAAGTTTTAACAGGAAGGGTTCAGTAGAAATATAGTATTTAAAATATAATCAGTGGTGATGATGATGTTCAGGAACGATGTGTACGGCGTGACCTTCGTACTTCACGTTGGCGTTGAATCTGATGATACAATAAAAAATACATTAAAACTATGGTCCACAATTTGTTCATATTTTGTTACCAAAATTTATGTTAGAATGCTCACCCAGTTTTTTTGTCAGCATGGTACTCCACAATCCTGACAGAGCCATCAGGCTGATGCAGACTGTACACGCCCTTCACGACGTGACCATCACGAGACTCATGCTGGGACTTCTTGTCACCGGTGTGAGGGTCCACAACCTTGTACGCGAACTCATATTTGGGATGAGACTGCAAAATAATATTGTGTTAGATATTATCAATCCTGTTTAGAAGTACTGAAAGCTTAGATTGAATTGATGCATTATCTTACATAGTACTCGACGTGTTTCTCGGTAGCTTTTCCGTGGTACTGCTTGATGCTCTGTGAGGAGGAGGCGTGGTGGTGGTGCTCGTGGTGACCGTCCTGTGGACGCGCCGCGACTACTGCTACCACTGCAGCTGCCAAGATGATCTGTGGATACAGAGAATGATATTTATTTTAAACCGACTTCAAAAGAGGTTCTGTTCTTCTTCAAAAGAGGTTTGATCTGTATTTGTATATGTTTGTGCTCGATTATTTCGCGATGGGCTGAACTGATTTTGATAGTTTTCAGAGTAATGTTTGTTAAACTTAGGAGAAGGTTTTAGTTACCAACTTCAAAAAAGAAGGGGTTTTCTTAAACGTAGTTTATAAAAGAATAATTGTCTCTACTCTAATTGACTGAAAAAGTTGAATGAATGCATTTCAGTACCTTGTACATATTGAAAGTTTGTAATATTTACTGTTGAAGCACAGAACAGTGACTGATAATCTTGGAGAACATATTTTCACTTTTTATAAGCTCTAAAGGGACAGTGAGACAACTTACACAATACGTTAATACACAATGATCTTGTTTCATGATCAAGTTTTTGGTTAATAAAAGTAACCTTGACTAAAGTTTTATTACATACGTGAATTAAGTCGTAACTTTAGCATAAAGTTATGTTTCATTCATTAAACAACTGGTTTTGCATTTTTAGTTGTTTTGCACCTTTGGCTTCTATAAAAACGAAATATTGAAGTTGAAAAGACATCAGTCACTCATTGGTAGTAAAAGTATAATCACCATAACTCCTCAAAATGTATAAGGTAAATAAATAATACTTTGAGTACCTAACTAAACATTATTTTCTTAAAATAAAATTCAAACTAAGTTATTTCCAAATACCATCTGATCCATCGTCTTCTAAGAACTTTTAAAATAACTTACAGATATTCCTTTTCGCTGCTGTGGTCGCAACAGTCGCTGCGCGACCTCAACAAGGTCACAACCAACACCATGGTCACGGTCACGCTATCTCCTCACAGAGCATCGTACTGCACCACACTCACGAGACCAAACACCCTGTACACCACGAGGAACATCATGAAGAGCACCACGAGGAACAAGGCAAGAAACACGAACAGAACCACCATGATGAACACCATTATGAGCAGTACTACCATAATGACCACCACCACGAGCAGTACCACCATGATGACCACCACCACGAGGAACAACATCATGGAGAACACCATCACGAGGAACATCACGGCCACGCCTCCTCGTCACAGAGCATCAAGCAACACCACGGACATGGCACCGAGAAGCACGTTGTCTACTATGTAAGATAAATGTTTATTTCATTGTCTAGTCTTCCATTGACATAAAGTGTATCCTACAGTATTCTACAACAATTTGTTTTGTGTTACAGTCTCACCCTAAATATGAATTCGCGTACAAAGTGGAGGACCCTCACACCGGTGACAAGAAGTCTCAACACGAAGCTCGTGATGGTGACGTCGTGAAGGGCGTGTACAGTCTGCACGAGCCCGACGGTACTGTCAGAATCGTCGAGTACCACGCAGACAAGAAGACTGGGTGAGTTTGTAAATTGAACTAAATTCAATCATTCTTTTAATACAGTTATGAAATATTTTAACTTAATGTTAATATTGTTAACAGATTCAACGCCAACGTGAAGTTCGTGGGTCACGCCAAGCACATCGTTCCTGAACACCACCACCACCACTGATTCTGATCTCAATTGTTAGATGACCTCATTGTTGAACCTTACATCTAAGTCATTATTTGTTGTCGCAAGAATTTTGTTATAAATGTAACAATTAAAATATTTATAATCCCACTGAATTTCTTGTTTTTGTATTACACCTGTTAAGGAATCAGTTTTTCCATTGTAATTTTTACAGCCCCAACGCAAAAACAGATGTAGGTAAATGATGGTGACTTTGTGCGTTTATCTAGTTGATGAACGTTCTGACATTTTACATTTATTAGTCATGACAAACACATGGTAACTCTCGATTACATTACTGCGAAATGATTAATCATCTGTATAATCATCGCTGACTGGCAGTTTCAGCAACCTATGTATATTTCGATTTACTTACTAGATGTAAGTAGGATTCTGATATGTCTGACACATTTTTATATGGAACATACTTTTGAACGTGTTGATGATTTCCAGGTACACGTCTAACTGACGTATGAACACATGAACACATCTAAGGACCGATTTTTCAATGCTCACGTTAATTTTAACTGAGGAATAAGTTTAAATTTTACCAAAGAGAGAAAAAAAAAGTTTAAATTTTGCAGAGTTCCTCTATACTAAAAACTGTCAACTGTCAATTTTATTCCACAGTTTTAAGCAATACCTTATGATTGAAAAATCAGCCCTAATAGGCCTAACTATCTGCCTCTGACATTTCATGTCTGTCCTCATTATAAAGGGTTCATAGCAATA